GATATTGAAATAAAAAAAGTTCCGTTCAGGAACGGATCGTGAAAGCAGATGATACGAATTCAAGAATTATTCCAGTCCAGTTAGTGTTAAGAGGGACGTAGAGACAGTTTGCGAGTGATACTTCTCAATAGAGAAATGGTTTGAAAATAATGTTTCTGAATTCATTTAGTTCTGTCTCTTCATAGTTAGGTTAGAGTTTGAATTACCGCGCCGCGCGCGTTCTTCAGCCGAGAGGGTCCAAGCCGAGCCCCGAGCTGCGCTTCGAGCCGAGTGACGAGCCGAGTCTGCCGGAGGGAGCGGGAGGGGGAGGGGGGGGCCTGCGCGTAGCTATGGGCTGTGCGGCATGGGCACGGTCGGAGCGCGGGGGCCGCATCACGCGCCCCTACTACTACTGGATGACGTCATGCCTGGTGCCTCTCAGCGCTCCTCATGAGAGTACAAGCAATGATACATAGTTAAGTAAAGTATTATTACTTTCAGTTGTGTGTAATGTATCATCTGCTAAAAACCGCCCAGCCCTATGCTCGCGTCTACCGTGCCGCTGCATCGCATCGCATCACATCACATCACATCAGCTCGACGTGAAGTCCGCCCCCCCCCGCTCCACTCCAGCCTCGTGGCCCTCGCGATTCACTTGCGCCCGGTGTTTTCCGACTTTCGTGTATGTTGTCTTTGGTCACTTTTTCATCTCAGATTTGCTGGTCTACCTCTGGCGCTGGGATGAACAAGTGAGGTCAAAAGGGCGTTTCAACAACCGGTGTTGAACGGAAGTGAAAGTGATCGCGAAGTCATTCGGCCCCGTGTGGCTGATTTGACTGTTTTTGCACCCGTACTTGTGTCATCTGTAACCGTTCCACTCGGCTGCCCGCCCCACCGTGGCTTTGTGCGCCCCTCGGGTTTTGATTCCGACTTTCGCGTATGTTCTTTTGCTCACTTTTTCACCTCAGGTTTACTGGTTAATCTCCAGTTCTGGGACGAACAAGTGAGGCAAATAAGGCGTTTCAGTCCTTGTTGAACGGGAGTGAAGCGATCGCCCAGTCATGCGCCCCCCGCTGTTCTGGCAGGCGCCGGCTCGCCCCGCCGCGGCAGCTCTTATTTTGACCCTTTTGACTGGAGGTAGAAGCCGTTTGGTGCCCGGTGCTGCCCCGGCTCTCCTGGCGCGGATGCGATATATGGTGAGCGATATAACCGGGCTGCCTGACCGTCGTCTGCGCCAGGGAGGGTGGTTGCGCACTGTGTTTTGTTTTGTTCTCTCCGTCCTTGTCGCACTCCGCTGCCACCGGGAGGGAGAGGGCACGCGTAAACACAGTGTGGGATCGCCCTGCAGATCTGTGGGCCTCGCTCGGCATTCAAACGTCTTCTACTTCGAGCCTGTTTGGTCGGCACCGATGTTTCGGTGTCCCTAGCTAGCGCCCACGTCGCGCCCGTGCGCTCGCGTAGAGCTCGCGCAGGGAATGACCTCTGTGCCCCGTGCAGTCTGACACTGCTACGCCCAAAGCATTCTTTCGCGAAACGCGTGGTCTGCGCCCGCGGACCACAGCCCGGCCCCTTCGGTTTGTTTGTCCCCTCGTGTGCATCGCCAGCAAGAGGAGCCCACGACGTGTCCTCCGGCCGCCGATGCCCCGCCCCGTCCAAGCCGACTTCAACCGCATCCACCTGGGCGAGCGCTGAGGCGGTGGCATGGTCGCAGCTCATGCCGCTGCCAACAAGGTAGGCCTCGTCTTTCGCCGCTAGAGTTTGTGTACAATCGCTTTTTGTTTGGTCGCTCCACTTGTTCAGATCTCTCTCACAGCCGAGTATGGCGCCCTGTTACCCAAAGCCCAGTACGGCACTTAATTTCTTTATATAAAGTTTCAGGTCTACTTAGCGATACGTAACTTTGTTAGGGGGCTACAACTTCCAAAGGGTACTCATCTCAAATACACAACAAAGCTCATTAATGACTGCATTGACATTGTCGAACAATGCTCTCAAGTCCTTTCGCGCCGTTTTGCTGCAGTCCGTGTTCATTTTCCGCGATCGCTCGGCGATGTTTAACAGCTCACGTCGGGATCGGAAGTTTAATAGGGTATTTCACCTGACCCAAACCAGATCCAAAGAAGAACAAGAGTTCTTCCTGAACTCTTTCCTCGTTGGCGCTCATTGGCTGATGCCGACGAAGTTCTCGGACCGGACACTAGGGGTCGACCGCCCTTGCGGCCAGCTCATGAACTTCGTCGGCGTCAGCCAATCAGAGCAAGGGAGGAAAGAGTTCAGGAAGAACTCTTGTTTTTCTTTGAATCCGGTTTGCGTCAGGTGAAGTACCCTATTGTATTTTCATTTAACTTAAAGATTTCATCAACCGCGATATCATTTAATTTAAATTTTATCCACCGCGATATCATTTAAAGTTTTATCAACCGCGATTTATTATAACCTATTTTAAATTTCATAACTTTACGAAGACTTTGGGGAACATTCTTCACTCCTCAAGGTCAGTCGTGTGTCCCATTAGATCGTCGTTATGCTTTGTTTTGAGCCTAATTTCTTATATATTGTCCTAGCACTAGAGCCAGGCCCCCGCTGCTGTTTGACTCCGTCTCGACTCGGACGCAGCCCTGGGGCTAAGCAGGTGTGTCGCTGCGAGCGAGCTGTCTGCCCAAGCCCGCCGCCTTGTGCTTGCTGAGCTGTCTCCGCGTCTACAGCGTTGACTTTATGGGACTACCGATCTACTGTTCCAGCTGAGAGGTAACTTCACTCGGCTTGTTTGTGATTGATTGTGGACTTTACTTGAACTAATATTGTGTTTATGTTCCAGTCGACATCTCAACTTTGCCGTGATGAGCCCCTTCCCGCCTGGACTCTGCGTCGCTTATGGCCGTGGTCAGCAGACTGCACAGGTGCGTTTCGAAAGCATTTTGTTCATTTGGCCTGCTTGTAGTGGCCCCGGTCAGTTCGTTGATATCGCCCCGCTGCTTGCTGGCTGGCGCGCTGCTCCTGGGCCTGCCTGCACCCGCCGGACCCCGCGGGTGTCCCCCCTAGGCCCCCTCCCCCCCGCGGGACCGGCGCTGAGTCGCGGCGACCAGGGCAGTGTCGGCCGCAGCTGGCTGGCTGTGCGGGTGTTTTTATTTTATTACATTGTGACCGGGGGATCACGAGGGCAAACTGATCGCTTATTGCAACCGCACGTAGGAACCAGAGTTAATACCGTGTTTTCTGTTTGACTTCCACGCAGCTGCCCCGGCCGTCGAGACCTCAGCCGCCTTCTCTGCTCTGGACTCCACCCTGGGAGAGCCAAGCAGTGCGTCACCACCACCAGGTCACCGCGGCCTCGTCGCCGCGGAGAGCCGCTCCCGTGTCTTCGGGGTCGTCTACAAGTAAGCGGAAGCTGTCATTTGTTGTGGCCTCTAGTTGGCTTATTGGATATTAATTTGGAATAATGATTCTAATCAAGTTTCGTTCCTGTTCCAGAGTAACCGTGAGACGTGAGGCACGCCTGCACTCGTCAGGTGCAGCAGCCGCCCGCCCCGCGCCCCCACCGGGGCCTCCGCGGGACATCCTCTAGCCAACGTTTCAGCTCCAGTGGAACGAATTTCAGTTAAATTGCTATGTTCAGATATGCTCGTTTCTCCACTTGCTTTTCCAGTTCCAGGCGAGTTCCAGTACCACCCCCTGTCAGCAGGAATTCAGTGCGGTCAACGAGGACATCTCGACTCCAGGACCTCCGTCAACAATCAACCCACTTCGGTCAGCTAAGGTATCTCGACTCCAATCGGATCTCCAGGACTCTCCAACCTGATATTGGACTCCGCTTCTAACTCTGCTTTGCTGTCTCAGGGTAACCATAAAAGGTAAGCAACTGTTTTTACCAGCCTGAGACATTTTCCATGTTTAATTTATTTTCAATTTATGATTTTTTGTAAAATGTTCTCCTTTTCATAACATCTACCTTTTCCTTCAGGTTCATTCTTGGTGACCATGCCGCAAGCCAACAGCTCCCACAACTCTAATTTGGTGCGAAATTATCTGGAACCTGCCACACTTTGGATGGATTGGCTGCAATAATGTCAGATAATAAATACCTTCAATATATCCAGGTAATTTATCACTTTACTCTTCAATGCACGTCATTTACTGTAATTTCTGACGCTCCAAAGGACAGAAATTTGTCACTGTCATCAATTTCACATCACTGGTTAATCTCCACTTTTGGCTTTTCCACAGTTCGAGGCCAGTTCCAGTTCCACCCTCTGTCAACAGGAACTCACTCCGGCCAGCGAAGACATCTCAACCCTGATACTTGCAAGACCTCCAGGACTACACCCCGACATTGCTTCCTGCTTCTAACTCTGCTTTGCTGTCTCCAAGAATAACCAGAAAAGGTAAGCACCTGTCCTCACTAGGCTGAGATATCTTCCATATCTTTCATTTTATTTCAATTTATTATTTACTTGTTAAATGTTTTACTGTTAATAACAATTATATCTATCCCCTCAGGTTATTTCAATGCTCTGCTCTGCCACCGTGGAATCCTTCTATCTCCAAATTTCAAGACACGCGATTTATTGTTCACCTTAAATTATTCTCTTACATTGAGCATTTAAGTATAGTCAGAGTGTTTGCATATCAATCTGTCCTTATCTTTGAGTGCAGCAAGGTGTTTATTTTCTGTACTTTGTGAAATACGTTTGTAGCATATTAATCTCTCTCAACTGTTGGACTTGCTCTTCTTGACTGACTCCCCTTCTTTGTACATCTTTGAGCATGATCACCTACTTTGTTGGTTGTAGTTTTTGAATTTATTTTTTAGTTTGTTGCATGTTAGT